GCTGACGGGAAGCGGTGTGGGGAAGGAGAGGTGGGCGTTGCTATTTTCGCTCGCCACATCCTCTGTCAGTTTCTAAGAACTGATGGCGGATTCCTGGTAAGAGATTTCGGTCTGTGACAATATCCAGCGAGCACACGCGGCCCCGCGGCGTCCAGCTCGGCTCCAGCCGTGAGGTGCGAAATGCTACCTCTGACCCCTCGGTGAGAGCCGAGATACGGTGTAGGAGCCGGGCTGGGGTGCGCCCGTTGGCGATGCCTCCCGCGGCTCTCGGTGCGTCATGGTGCTCTGGTATCGAAGTGGAGGAGTTTCCTCCTCTGGTTTACAGCTTGTGTGGGGAGAAAACGGAGCGGGGTTTGCTTTTGTTACAAGTGATATGCCGCTGCTCGCAGTCCCCTGCGCCTTCCTGTTCGTGGGGCTGGTGTGTCCCCCAGCACTGGGTTCCCCGGGCCCCGGGGAGGTGCGGGTGAGTCACGCGGGGCTCCCCGGGGGGAGAACAGGAGGGTAAAAGCCTTGCGAGAAGCTCGGTGGCCGCAGCATCGTTCTCATAACGACCCAGCATCGATGGCGCGTAGTGTTGTAGGGCATACGTGGCTGGGGCAGCTGTCGGGTCTGAGAAGGTCGGGGTCCGGCTGCCTTCGAGACCCCCAAAGTGACGCAGTGTGCGTCAGCCAGGGCACCCAGCAGGGATTCGCCTTGTCCTGGCTCGGACGTGGGCAGGGACGGGAGGAGGCAGAGCTGCGCGCAGCTTCTCTGCAGCGGGTGGGTGACCGCAGAGATGCAGGACCACGCCGAGCTCCGGGAGACCTGGGACGTAGGGCCTGGGGGAGGCAGGTGGATCTACCAAGGTCCCTGTGTGCACCCGTGGTGCTGCACGCTGGCCGCCGCTCGTCAGTCTGGGAAGCTTTGGTTGTAAAGGTTGGTACCAGCCTGCGCGGAGTTGCTCTGCCCTACCCTCTTGGTCGGCGGCGGCAGCTGACTGCCGTGATGCTGAAATCACACGCTGCAGCCAGGCACGAGCCCAGATGCTTTGGGAAGCTCTGATGGGCGCAACGTCTATTCCTCGAGAACGCGGTCAAGCAGGGAGGTGGGGAGAAGACAACCAGAGCGTGGGGCTTCTCCTGGGGAGGGGCCTAAAGCATAGACAAGCTGGAGACGTCCCTTGTCGGAGAAAGGCTTCTTTGGTCTTGTGTGTTTAAATGCTCCAGGGGCCAGAGGCGTAGCCCAGCAGCTGCTCGGAGCCATTTGTAAGGCTCCCACCTCTGAGCAGCAGAGAAGTGAGGCCTCTTGTCTCGCTCCCTCTCCCGCAGGACTGCCTGAAAGCCTGTCAGGAGCAGATTGAGGCAGCCTTAACCGAGAGCCTGAAACAGGCGTCCCAAACCCAACAGGAATACAGCACCGCCAAGACTGCTGCTTACCTGGCCAGCCAGCCCACCAGCACGCCTACAGACGTCACGGACATCAACCTGTGACCAGCCTCCCCTTCCCGAGGGCCGCCCGGCCCCGCCGCGGCAGGACCTCGCCCTGGACACCGAAAGGTCGCTGCATCCCACCTACCCGTCCGTCAGCCCCCTCCATCTGACGCCTGCTGAGGATTTGTTCTGCTCGCTGGCAGTGCAGAGCAGGATCCGCGCTCATCTGTCGGAGCGGGCAGCCGGGCTGGCGGAGCTCGACACTGCTCGTCAGCGTCTGCAGGTGGCCGGGGTGAAGCGACCGTTTTCGTGGTGGCAGGGCACAAGAATTGCTGGGGAGGGGGAGCAGGACCCAAGATGAAGTTGTAAAATGTTTCTCAGTTCGCGTTCCTCCTAGCCTGGCTGGCCACTGTTCGCCGTCTCCTCGCGGGGCGTTTACCGTGATGCCTTCCAGCCCCGCGTGGGCCATCAATCATGGATAGTGAGCCTCCTACCCTGACCTACGTGACCAAAACATAACCTCCCACAAACCTCCCTCAGAACCCGGGCTGGGGTGCTAGGGGCCCGCCGCGGCTCACAAGAGAGAACCGAGTGTCCGGGAGGAGGGAGCAGGTGCTTGTTGGCCCCTTGGTCCCAATTGCTTCGTGCCAGATTGCTGGGGCTCCTGGGGGGGTGGCGTGGCTGCTTCTGCTTGGAGGGGAAACGTGTGGCTTGTTTCTTGTTCTTGTTAGATTTGGGATTTGCGGGTTTTCGGCTTGCTTGGGGGACGCGGTCCCCGTCTGCGTGGAGAGCAGAAGAGAAGCCCTCGCCTCGGGGAGCAGCCTCCTGGGCGAGGTTTGGGCGCGAGCCCCTGGGCTTTCCGCTGCCCCACTGAGGCTGCTTAATTTATTGTTAACTGCTGGGAATGAGGAGGGAGGAAGACGTTGCAGTTCCTTGGTGTGGGGCCTGGACGCTGGTCTCCTCTCCTTCCGAAAGAGTGCCTTCACCCTTCGCCCCCTTCCCTAGCTCCCCGGGCAACGAGTCTCACTTGGAAGCTGATCAGGTTTTTTTTTTAGGTAGCTCAGACATCAGACTAGGTTTTAAGAAATACATTTGAATGTGCTGCTATAGTCTGAAATGCATCTTCACTCCTCCAAGGCAGGGATCTTGGATCGCATTCGGGAAAGGGCTGCGTTGCACCTATATCCACGTGGGTCCGAGCTGTATCCTTCTCGGGTGGAAAATTTGCTGCGCACTTGAGTTGAAAAGCAATTATTGCATTTTTGTATTGTTGTTGTTGATCCCGTCTGTTAGTTTTTATAAAAAGTGTTTAAAAAAAAAAAATAATGCTGCTTTTCTAAGAGAGAACCATTAAATAGTACAATTGTATTAACCGAGAGAAGCCAGAGAGACTCTGCGGGGATGGGACGCAGACTGTTGCTGCTTGGTGACCTCTGGACGTGTGGATCTGTGGCTGTTGTCCTCCCGTGGGGGACGTTCAAAAGGAGGTAGACGTCTTCCTTTTTGGATGCCACTAGAAACAAAAGTCTTATCAGGTGGAAAAAGATGGGGCTGCCGTTCGTCCACTAGCCTGACTTGTCAAGAAGGGCCGTCTGCCGCTGACTCCTGCTAGCAGGAGGGCTGGGGGGCACACAGGGCCTCTCCGTACAAAAATTTTTTTTATATATAAATGAGTTTTAATTTAAGAGTAAACTGGTTTGGTTTTCACACCTGAGAGTCCCGCCGCTGGGAGAATCAGAAGACCGTACGATGTTGCAATAAAGTATTTTAAACAAGTATGAACGACCTCGCCAGTTTCCCTTTGCGCTCCGTGCTGTGCCTTGGGCCGCCCAGGGAAGACCTCGGCCTCCTCTTCCCTCACAGGGCTCCCGCCTCTGCCCCAAATCGCTCTGGGGTGGGACCCCCATCGGCTGGAGGATCCCCTCGGGCTGCTCCCAGAGGCTCCAGCCCTGCGGTTTCCCCCGGGCCGCAAGAGCAGGATGAAACGGGGAG